AGACACAAGAGATGCTGCAGCAGTAAGACCTATGGAAAAAGGAAGGGAAATAAATAGAGGACATGCCATTAATGAAGATGCACAAAGGAGAATTTTTACAAAACATGCTGAATCTCATCACACTACTGCTAGCTCACAGCAGTTCTAACAACTGGGTGTATGTATGGGCAGTTGTGTGTGTGTTTTCTTCCAAGGGACCTATCAAACAAAGGATTAAGCTGGCAGATTACAGTCTGATAAATGAAATTACTGGCTGACTTACAATAGTGGCTGAAACCATTTTGTAACAGGAATTTAAAGGTGGAGCAGAACTTTCAACTACTGAAAATCTTTATTTAACAAACATAACTGTAATGAATTCATTAAAACTTACGAGACAAACGGTTTTCTACATGCAGAAACTGAAACAGCATATCAGGAGTTAGATGAGATAACAATATTATATAGCAGCATGAAACACCCCTACCCACCCACACACATATATATCGATCCCCAAAAGACTCAAAATTCAATTAAAGATGTACTATGTGGTATCCTTCAACAGATGAATAATGGGACAACTAGGACAACATTTCATAGAAAAGTATCGGAAGTTTAAGATGAAAATTTGTTTGAAATCTTCACATTTTGGCATGGGCGTAAACTTATTTAAATTCCCAATTCTGATGGGCTACCTTTCTCTGATGGTGACCATTAGATTCAATCCAAATTCCTCTTTTGTGAGAGGAAGCATAAGTAGTAATAGTGTATACTTAATTTAATGGGGCTTATCTGTTTGTTTAATCAGTGAGATCATCAGGTCATGCCAGAAGTGGCATCATCAGGTTGCACTGAATATGACGTGCATAACCCTAATTGATAACGGATGGATAATGTTGTGTCATTGAGTCATGTGCTTAGAACATGTCTGCACATGCATACATCCCCTTCAATCCATCACAAGCATGCCTGCGCATGCCCAGAATCATGGCTATGATGTGCCTAGATGTACCAATAATGAGTGTCACTGTTGAATACTTGCTGCTTGGTTGGCTGCTGCTTGTGTGAGTATTTGGCTCCTCAGTTAAATTTTCCTGGCTTTGTGGGAGGGAGGGGTGTGGAAATAAAATGTTATTAAGGTCATGCTTCAAAATGTTTATGTGTATGTGTATATTTGCATTATCAGTTAAATTTCCAAACACATGTGTGTGTGTGCGCACACGTGTGCATGCATGTATATTTCAGGTTAAAATTTGCAAGCTGTGTGTCTTTAGCTTTTACAAAAGGTAAAGATGTCTGTGATTTTCACTTCACTTAGGACATGGGCTGGGGGTTAGGGCTAGGTTAATCACTCTGGAGCTGCTGTGGTTTAAAAAGTTCTTTTTCCAGCGTTCGAGGGGGTGATTTTAAAACTGCATAAAAATAAAGCCTTTTTAGGATCTCCTTTTCCTGCATTCAAGGCGCTGATTTTAAAACTCCACAAAATTAAAATTAACATTAGGCTAATTGTTTATTTCACAATGCCCAAGTAGGGTTTGTCTCCCAAACACAGAGCAGCCTAGGGTCCTGTTAATAATTCACTTTACTTAGTTTTGATTTGAATGCCCATAGAATTAGGTTTGGGGTTAAGCTAATCAGACACCCTAGGGCTGACCATCACACCTTTCTTGATGATAGGGTTAGGTTCCACACGTCATGTCCAGTTAGGGTTATGACCTTGTGAGTGCTGCATCATGTGGGGAGGAGGATTATGCACATTATATCCAGGGGAGGGTTAGGGTTATGATCTGACATCCAGCAAAACCTTATGATGTCACATCCAGTGTGACCTGATTATGTCACTGATTAAACGAACAGATAAGCTGCCATTGAATTTAGTATACACTATTACTACTAGCATATTCAGTTTAGTGATAAGAAATGCCTACCTGTGCAAGGGTAAAATGCTGTCTCTTATACATTCAAATACAATGTCCTAGCATGCACAAATAATGGACAATATATTTAGTATTCATTAAGATGCAGAAAACCAAAATAATAATTGACTGACATACTTATATACTGGAAATAAATTGAACACGTAATAAAGAGTTGGAAAGGACTTGTCCAACTCCCTGCTCAGTGCAGGAATTCAAGATAAGCATCTCAGACAAATGGCTATCTACCATTTGCTTGAACACAACCCACCATTTTTCAGGATAGGTGGTTCTACTCTTCCTACTGTTGAAAAGTTTTTTCTAATATCCAGTCAAAATCTGCCTTCCTGTAACCATTATTCCATATTCTGCATTCTGCAATGAGAAAGAACAGGTCTTGTCTTTTTCCTAATAGCATCTTTTCAGGTATTTGAAGAAAGCTGTCATTCTCACACCCTCAGTGGTTTTTTCTCAAAGCTAAACACACAATCCTTCAGTCTGTTCTCATAGGACTTAGTTTCTAGTTCTTGATCATCCTTATTGCCCATCGCTGAATTGTTACAATTTCTGTGGAACCCAAGATGGATCAAACCAAAGCAGAATAAGACAGAAAAATTATTTACTGTGGTTTGGGAATTATGCTTGTCTTCATGCAGCCTGAATTTGCCTTTATTTTGCAGCCATATGACATCACTGGCTCATGGTTTGTGCTCAACTACCATTCTAATATCTTTCTCTGAAGTAGTATTAATCAGATTGTTTATAACTATGCTTTTATCAAGTCCTTTTAAGGAACTCCTATCTATCTTGAGTTCCATACTCCGGTTGTTTCTTTGCCATGAAATCCTACGCATTTACGATTTGCTCTGAATCATAAGCATGTCTATCGTTGTTTACTTCGTTGCCTCCAGCATTAATAATTACTTTCTCCCAATGTTCCTGTTATTTACATTTAAGTCATCTCTATTGCTTAACATCAAGTCAAGGATCATTGATCCTGTTATGCTTTCTTCCACTCTTAAAGGATAAATTTGTCAGCAAGTCAAGTTAGGAATTTCCTAAAAGGACTATGCGTGGCAGAATTTGTCTCCCAATATTCTGATTGATTAAAGTCCCCATCTTTGCTGTTTTATCCTTATTTAAAAGATATGCAATTTGTTTTTAGAAAGCATTGCCCACATCTTCCTTGGTTGGATAGGCATCAACAACAGAGTTGCTCTTATTTGTTCCTCTGCTTATCAACTCAGAAGGCTTCTACAATATTACAAGTTTATCCACTTGGCATTTTCCATTTCTGCTCTTCTTCCATGGACTGGAGGAATGATTGAGAACACCATCAGAGACTCCAAGTATCTTGACCTTCCTTCCTAGATCTTCAAAGTACTATGCTTGTATCTTTACTTTGCAGTATTTTGTGTCCCCACATGGATAAGTAGGAAGGATTATAACCAGTGGACTAGATAAATTTGGAGTGAAGTTGGTAGATCCTAATAAGCAATAGTCTTTCCAGTGGTAATTTATGGCTGTGAATGCTGCATGCTGAGAAACATTTATATCTTTGACTTATGAATGTAAAGACAGTTACTAGAGGACCATTGACTGCTGACTGTTTTCTTGAGGCAATGGATAGCAAACAGAAAATCATTCTGGATATTTTGATATAAGTGAATGATGGACTAGAAAAAAATATTATACTTGTAAAGTTAAGGGATGTAAAGGGGGATTAAGTATATAGACAAGATAAAATAGATTACTGGAATGTAGTTGGAAAAGTTATTATTTATTACTGAAGACAGGTGAAGATGGTGGACAGCCACATTGATTTTATTTGTTTCTATACCTATTTATATTGAGATGCAGTCTAAAGCATTGCTAATCCACTTACAGTATTTGGATTTCTAAGCAAGAATAGATATTTTTTATCATGCAACATAAATATGTTTCCCTTTCTATTGCTACTACTCCTTTTGAACAAAATGATACTGTTATATTTCAGTGATATAACACTGTTATATTCCAGTGTCTCTATTTATACCTAATAAATTAGACTTGCACGTCTGTACTAGGACTTCAGTCTCATTTTGTTTTCTCCAAAAAACTTTGAGCATTAATGTATAGACAATGAAGGCTATGACCTTTATGAGCCACTATTCTTTCCACTATCATCTCACCCATTCTGACTTACAGTGTGTACACACACACACACACACAGATAGAATATGTATATATATATGTGTGTGTGTATATGTGTGTGTATGTTTGAGTGTGTGTGTGTGTGTGTATGGAATGGAAGTATGGACAAGAATACCACCCAACCCTCCAGAGTTGAGTTTTCTTCTGAGATTGTGAAAGTCTGTGATGGTATAGCCTTTGCAGTATCATTTATCTACAAATACATCAGCAGAAAAGGATAATTGTTTATTAAGGCTCAGAAATTGTTATATATCCTTGATTTTTGCTAATGGCAACCCTCAGAATTCACAAGCCAGGAGCCCAATCAACATATGTTTGTTGCAGTTGCTCATCACTGTGTATCACCAACTATGATGAATCTTCCCTTCCACCGATTTTTGGAAATCCACTGTCATCTTTTCCATTCCGAAGTATCTTTTTCTTCCCCAACCTCAGAATCAATTGATCTGCAAGATCCTGAAAACTCTTTCTGAGTTCTGGTGGTGCAGAACATCTTCTACGTCTCTTGCTCCTGGTTGTTCTTCTGAATCACTGGGTTTACTCCATTTGACTATCTTCCTTTTGAAGAGTAGTTTCCACTGTAAGTTTGGACATAACTAGTATAAAGTTCCTGTTTCTTCTTGTTGCCTCCTTAAGTTATATTGCTTGCAAGGTACAAACTTTTGACTTAAGAGGTAAATTTTGTTATGAGACATCCTCTTAAATTCTCCCACTGAATTTGCCAGGACATCAGCTCTTTCAAGTGCTCACTTACCTGCTTAGCGAGCTCACTGTCAAAAACCTTGTTGAGGACATTCCTCTTGCACAATCTGCTTACTCATCTTATAGCTGATTTATCATGGAATAAACCACGTACAGGTGTGGTATTAATTTAAAAATAGCTCAATCTCATTACAGCTTTAACACCAGCAGCTTGTTGCTAGAAATTTCCACATTTGCGGCATTCATAAATTTATCAAACAATAGTTTATTCTAATAATTTTTTTTCAAATACACCATGATACTGGATTCACACATTACCCTAAGCCATAAATTTAATTTGGCCAGTCAAGAAAAAAAATGCCACTGTGATTTACAATCAATGTTTTAGTGTTATATATAAATCAGACACTAATAGTTTATACTGTGCAATAATGTATGAAATATGTGAACTTAAGGAGTGTCAAAGAACCTCAGGGCTAATTTGTGTCAGTATGGTAGCATGACTCTTTTTCCACACCTAAGGTTTATCTTTTTTTCTGTGCTGTTTGCATCAGGGTTTTTTTTAAAGAATTTGAGAGAATAGGAAGCAAAAAAAAAAAAAACTAGAGCCAGTTTGCTCTAGGGGTGAAGGCACCACACTAGAAACCAGGAGACTGTTAGTTGTAGTCCCACTTTAGACATGAAAAACTGTCTAGGTGACTTTGGGCCAGTCGCTCTCTCTCAGCCCAACTCACGTCACAGGGTTGTTGTTGTGGGAAGAATAGGAGGAGGAAGGAGTATTAGGAATGTTCACCCCCCTGAGTTTTTTATAAACATAATAAACATGGATAAAAAAAAAAAAGTAATGTAGAGCCAAATCTGCATGGTTT